TTTGAGATTTATGATCTACTATGAATTCAGCTTTCCATAATTTTCAGCTAATTGGCGGGGTTTACCCACAGGTGCCTAAGTCCTTTGATGCTGTCACAAAATGGCACTCTTCATTTCCTTCCAGGCCTGTTTGTCACATGTGCATGGAAATAAAAGAGTTATTTATGCACGCATTCACATTTAAGAAAACATTCTGATAATTTTTGTTAGAGAATCTCACTGGCCTGATCCAGAACGGTGGTTAGTGCCGCATGTCCATCACCAAGCTGCCAGCACCTCTCCTGTGACATCCACACTGGCTGCGGCTGCTGTTGGCGATGGCCTGTGATCTCTGAATTTGTGGGACACATGGAAGCAGCTTTCTAATTTTATTCTTGCCAAAATTATAAGAGCTCTGATTGAGAAAAGCCAGCTCCCTTCATTCCTCTCGACTTCTCATGTTAGTGGTGAGAGCGTGACAGAGACTGACCTTTTGCTCGTATACACAGTAGCCAAACCAGACGAATGGCCAACTGAAGGTGCTAATGGATGAATTCTGTCCCTGGTTGGCTGGGTTTCTAGAGATGAGGTTTCCTATCACATGCCTGCACTGGCAGATTATAGAGGGTGGGGAACCATGAGAACAGCAGCGCCCTGCACCAGGGGCATAGCAGCAGTGTGGAGGTGTGTGTCCATCTTCATGCAATGCCAGCTCCAACATTCACTGTGTGGTCTTTATTGCTGTGATTTTGGTCACTCTACGATGGAAATACATGCTTCCATCTCAAAAGGTTGCAATGAGGATACCGTGCTGGCAAATGGATGTGCTTTGCTCAGGATCAGGGCTTATATGTTCTGCTGCTTCTTCAGGATAATTTTTGCCTGACTTTTGCTCAGGGACGGTCCTTGGTCACAACCTGTGTCCGTGTTCCTTACAGTTTGTATTTCCATTTGTAACTTCCCATTCCTGGACAGCAGGAATCATTTCTTGGGCACAGTTCTTCATAATGTAGAGGCACAATCATATTTGAATACATTTCATAATACATTTTAAATATTCAAGGTACAATATAAGTAACAGTTGACAGTGTTACAGCTTTGGCTTCTTAAATTGTCAAAAATCAGACTCAAATGTTAAAATTTTACTAGATTAGAATGTGCAGAATGTTTGAACATAATGAACTTGAGGATGACAAGATTTATTATTTTCCACAAAAAGATTTCCATGAACAGTACCTTTATGCAGCAACTCGCTGATGTTTCCTATGACCTGGACTAATTACCTGGTGCTCTGCCCTTGCTGGGGTGCTAGAATGTGATATTAGGATTGACCCTTAGTGAGCTCAAGATGGATGAGTGTTGATTAAGGTTTCCGTCCCACCCAGTCCTGCAGCCGTTAAGTCCCAAAGAATCACACAGAGGTCTACATTAATTACAAACTGATTGGCCTATTAGCTCAGGCTTATTAACTCTTATTAATTATTACATCTTACAATAACTCATAATTCTTGTCTGTGTTAGCCACATGGCTTGGTACCTTTTTTGATGAGGTAGTCACATCTTGCTTCCTCTGTGTCTGGATGATGACTGCAGACTGATTTTTTCCTCTTCCCAGAATTTTTCTTTCTCATTGCTCCACCTCTACTTCCTTCCTGGTTGCCCAGCCTATACTTCCTGCCTGGCTACTGGCCAAATAGTATTTTATTAAATAAATCTTTACAGAAACAAACCTTTACAGGGTACAACCATTGTCCCATTGCATCCCCCCCCCTTTTTCTGCAGATGAGTAACTGTGAATGCCAGACGATGCTCACTCCATGATGCCACCAAACTGGAAGCCATGTATTGTTATGTGGTCCTAGAAGAGTAAGGAAACATCTATAAACGGCTCCACATCTTTGCCATCATCACATCTAGTTCACTTTGATTAACATGAGACTCTTTGCTGGCTTCAGTTTAGGAATGACCTTGGTTGAGTGGGCTGATTCCACTCCTAGGCCTGGGAGATCTCCAGCCTGTCCTCCCAAAATGTCACTGCTCAGCACAGAAACACACTGGTGAAACAGGAACAGCCTGGGGATGTGTTCACAGCACCTTTGGCAGTGTAAGAACCACCTCTACTTCCTTTCTACCTGTTCCCTCCTGAACTCAGGGGCATTTAGGGAAATGCTGCTAGGTCCTGGCTGGGAGAAGCAGTGTGCAGTGTAGGAGGAATGCGAGGACTGAATGAGAAGGAAGCTGCTGGGAAGTGACAGGAAAGGACCTGCCTCTGCCCAGAGCAGTCATGGGCAGTCACACATGAAGTCCCCAGGCTGTGCTATTGCTAACAGGAGCTCCCCTTTGGAGCCCATGTTTTGATGTTCACTTCTGTTGTTCATCCTCATCCATAAGCAACTTTTCATTTTTTTTGTTTGTATTGAACTATACATTTTTCTCCGGTCCTCTCCTTTCCTCCCCCCTCCCCTTCTACCCCTCTCCCATTATCCCCATGCTCCTAATTTACTTAGAGCTTATCTTTTTAATACTTCCCATGTAGATTAGATTTGTGAGCAATTTGATGATCTACATTTTCACTTTTGCAGCCGCATGGTCTTTGGTGGAAGTGCCCCATCAGTGTAGTCTAAAACAACCACAGACAGTCTGTAAAAGAATGGGCACTGTTGACTATCAGTCAATCCTAATCCCTAGAAACAGCCAGCAGGCTGGACTTGATCTGGGCCTTTATTTCCTCAAGCCTTATTCTAATGTTTGCTAACACTCACTTCCCTTTGCCTTTCTCCATTTTTTGAAGAATTTCATTTTAGAATCCCTTCTGGCCTTTAGAGATGATAAACGCAGCATCTCACATGCCACTTACCCACAATCCCGTTAGAGAGTTCTTATGTGCCACACTTCCCCTGATCCATGAGCCCACACCTACTCCCTGTAATCCACCACTTCCCAAGTGCCTTTTAAACCCTTTCGGTAGCTCATCCTGTCCGTTACCCTACACCTCACTTTCAGGTCTCCGAGGTGGTCCTTGCTCTTGAGGATACTGACAACTTCAGCAGGTGATGACTGGTCGGGTGTTTGCGGAAGGTTTTCTCATGCTGAGACTGAAACTGAGGAGGAAGGCTGCAGACGGGAGGGTCCATTTCCACTGCATCCTGTGGGTGCTGCACTCACTGGGACAATAGTTGTAGTCATGTGACTGAGGTCAACCTACTCTTCTCCCACCCCTTCTGGCGTGACCTCTGGAAGGAACTCTGCCGCAGGTGTTTCAAATAAGTTCTGCATCCTCGTCCTTGGGCCTGAGGGTCTCCATGGATTGTTTTCAGTTCTTCTGTACAAATTCACTCCCTGCTAAATAACCATTTTATCAATATGAATATCCAGTAGAATTTATGTTTTTCATCATTATTTAATCCTGGTTTATTGCCTTCCACAAAGTGTTCAGGCTTTGAAAATACATGTATGGTATAGAATACTTATTTATAAATATTTCTTTTTGCGATCATTTCTATTAGTCTAAAGATCAGTCCATATTTGTTGGGGCTGCAGACTCTCAGACCTTTGTCATTCTGTGGCCCTTTGCCTGCCCGAGGGAACAGAGTAAACAATTTGTTTTCCTGTGCCTGCTGCTGCTCTGAGACCTGGTGGGTTTACAGCTGGAAATCCCAAGAGCTGGGGCGTGGCTATCAGTTAAGGATCCCTTTATAAGCTTCCCTGTGTGTGTATGTGTTTCAATCTCCAGCCCCTTGCCCGGCTCATGGACTGTCCTGCAGTGCAGGCGCTACACATTGTCTCCAATTCTTGCACATTATCACATGGATTTTTTGAGCTTATTTCCCTTAATTTGTTCCTGCCCTTCCAGCAGTGAGAGTCATTCATAATTTAGTGGTTAGCATAGCCACCTTCTGCTCCATTAGTGAGAAAACTGGCTCCCACCATCTGCCCTCCATTGTACTTAATTCCCACAGTACAATATTCAGACTGTTGTGTAGCACACCGTCCTTCGACAAAACAGCCGCCATCTTCATCACAGGAGCTGCACTGACTCTCAGTGGTCTGTTCGAACTGGACTTGTTGAATCTTGATGTTCCCTCATGGAAGCATGGGGTGCTGAGTCATCAGATCCTCACTTGAGTTTTCAGCCACTCCTGAGTCATTTCTGCCCTTGCTGCTCCTGGCCTTGTGGGCTGGGTTCTCAGAATGTCCTAGAGTGTTAGTCTGGGATGTTGTATTGGAAAGGGCTCGCTCTGTGTGGTATGTGGAAGCCCTCAATGCACAATGTTGGGTGAAGACATGTCAGTGTGACTGCTTCAGGGTCACCCAGCCTCCTGCTAACATTCCCTCACTCATTCTCTGTAAGTAAGCCCAACTTATTGGTTCCTCAGTGTGAACTATGGTGGACTCATGTTTGAGTTTGTCACTTGTAAGGGGTAGGTGCTGTTCGTGACTCCCCAGGGAAGGCATTCTCACAGCAGCAGAGCATTGTTATAAATCAGATTTCCCCTTGAGGACACATTTGTTGATCAGATAGTATAGTCATTATATAGACTTCTTTTGTCTTACAGAGTCACTCCTGACATTACGTGGACTATAAACATACCTCCTTTGATGTTAATATATTTATTATATAATTTTTCACATTCTGAATACTTTACTGGGTTTCTCTCATCTGCATTAATTAATTAATTCATTCATTCATATTCTTTCTGTCTGTCTCCCTATCTTCCCCCCCTCTCGTGTGTGTGTGTGTGTGTGTGTGTGTGTGTGTGTGTGTGTGTGTGTAACAATGGTTTATAAGTTGAGTGATTTAGACATGCTAGTATTGCAATATGAGAGAAAGTTAATGAATACCATATCCCTCCAAACCTCAGCTAATTCACTGCTCTGAGTTTCACGTGAGGCATTGTGGAACAGCATGCATGATTTGCATAAGGAGGTTGATGATGATGTTTGTTTAGTGGATGAATGAGCTGTTCCCTTGCATGAACAAAAAATTGAATGTTAGAGAAGACAAAAGACTAAGCCATGGAGAAAGTGAAAGCAACAGCTTTATTCCTTCAGAACAGGAGATACCAAAGGCTAGGCGTCCTCTCGAGGGATCTGATGGGTACTATCTAGGGTCTGCATGTCATTATCCCTCCCCTCATTTCAGCTCCCACATCTTCTTGCCATTGTTCCTCACAATGTCTTCTGGGAATAAGCAGCAGCCGTCTCAGGAAGCCTGCTCTTCCGTTCCTAGTCTACCTACGACCATCTAACTTTCCTTTATTCCCGCCCTCAGAGACTGACACCAATTATTGTCAGGAAAGGGGGTGATGATCACTCTAGCTGCTTCATGCTGTGAGGGGGCGTAGTAATGGGGGTGTCAGTCCAAGAGAGAGGGAACTCCCGTGAGGTAGGCAGGCTCCTGGAGGCAGTCTTGTTTTGGCAGACAATATGGCTGCTTCTAAAGGGCCACCTGTACAAGCAGGACTGAAGGAGTAGAGAGGCAAATACTAGGCTACCACATTACAGACCAATGTAGGTGAGCATTTTCAGAAAAGCCCCACATAGTAGCAACTGATCCAAGGCTGATATGGAGCATGATGAACCCAGGATCTGTTTCCAGATACCTTGATAACTGTTGGAGTGACCAGAATCACAGTGGGGTCTCTCTGATATGGCTTCTAAAGGAGAGAGAAAAGAAATGTATCTCGGAAATCAAAGGATCCTTACAACAATAGGGCACTTGTCTCTCTTGATGGCAGGTAGACACAGCAGTGTGGGATTGAGTCAAGGTCATGACATCTGATATCTGGGCAACATTTTTTGTTACCAAGAAGAAAATTGCCAATGAGAAATAGCTGTCTAAACAACATCTCATATGGTTTTAAACCTAATGTCTAGGGAGTGTGGTTCCTTCAACTGTTAAAGAAACACACCAGTCAACCATTTTATTCTTTGGTTATATTTTCCTGCTGGGTGTTTAAGACCATGCAAGTGGACATAACTACATTTACTTATTTCTTTATTTTTTATTGTCAAGGCCAGTTGAGGATATATGGTCCTTGAGGGTGACTTGGGTTTGAGAGGAACCTCAGAACCATCTAACCTTCCTTTTACAACTGTGTTCATTCCAGGTGAGGATAATTTAAAGGCTTAGCCATGGTTTTGCTTGGAAACAGAGGGCATTTTCCCTCTACATTGACCCTCTTCTTTGTAGATTGGACACTGGTTCCCCTTCAGCGGGTGGAGTCTCCACAGTCTTTCTGAACAAAAGAAAAGGTGATTCCTCACAGTCAAAGAACATCTGGTAAGATGCTTGTGCCTGTACTTGACCTTGGAGGGCAAGGGGAAATAGATTCTCCCTTTTAATCCTTCTGACCACATTAGTATGGCCTTCAAGGATGGTGATAGAACACGCAGAGTGACAGCTACAGCCAAACACTTAAATTTTGGTTAAATAAACATATTTGTTCTGTAAGGGTTAAGCCTAGAGCATAACTCCATTGATTTAAACAGAGCCTTGACAACAATGTGTCGAATTCTGACGTTTGACATACCTTATACAACTTGCTCAGACCCCCATCACTTGCTTAAGTTTTCCAGCTTTCTTTTCCATCCTGGAAAAAATAATTATTTTCTGAGACATAATAACATCAACAGATCAATAGTCAACAAGCCAAGCTGGGATGATCTTTTGAAATCTGGCACACCGGAGCCATGGCAATTCTTCGGTTTAGAAGATAGTGCTATGTAATAGCGCTTTAATAAAGGATAGGCCAATGTCAAGTGCATACTTTATAAATTAAAATTACATGTGCACATACTGTTAAACTACCCATGGGACTCAATAAGTTCCCAAGTAAACCTTATAGAAAGCATAATACAGTCTTTATACAGACAGAGAACACACATCCTTAGTGAGAAGGGACTAAAAATCATTCCTGGCCAGGCAGGGGTTATCTAATTGAGAAAAAATGTGGTCACAGTCCCAAAGATCATCAGGGTAGCAGGACCTATGGTACAGCTATTGGGGCATCTTCTGGGAACTGTTCGCCTTAATGTGCCCAATTATTTGGTTCTAGGGCTTCATATATCCAAAATAATAGGCAGAAAGCCAGAAGTACTTGGATATCACAGCAATCTGAAAGTATCTATCAAGCTTCACCCAGGAAGAATCCAGCCCATCTAACTCTGAGCCCAGGCCAGGGTCTGCTCACAGTGGAGACTTTCTACTCACTAAGTCCAGATTGGATCCCTGTGCAGAATAAATGCATAAATATATATATACCAGGTGCTTTTTAAAGCCCTTGCACCAAAGAGCTCCCAAAGGTGAGAACAGGACCTAGGGGAGCCATTGGTGATGACTACCCTTCCGCAGACAAAAGAAGATACATTGGAACACTTTCTAGATCTTGCCTTCCTAAATTTTCAGAGAGCTTCTCCTGCAGAGTTAACACACGTGACAATAAGTACTCATAACTTCCTCTGACTTGCTATCAGCTTGAAAGAAGCAGAAGCCTGTCCAGCACATTTGCTCGAAGGCAAATGCCCAGTGTCCCCTTCAATGCCACCAGAGAGCTCCTCAAACACAACAGGGCCTCTGAGAAGCCTGGGAAGGAATAGGCGCGGATGGAGTATTTGCAATGTCAGAATTGTCATCTGTCCTACAGTCCAGCTAAGGGGAATCCTAGTCCTGTTACCACCACCCTGCCACACATATGGGGACAAGTTTTTAACTAAAAAAGTTTTCATTTTACATACCAACCCCAGTCTCCCCTTCCTATCTCCGCCCCCCCATTCCTCAGAGGGGATATGGCCTTCATTGGTGAGTCAACGAACTCTAGCATACAAAATTGAGGCAGAATCAAGTCCCTCTCCCCGTATCAAGGCTAAGCAAGGTATCCAATCATAAGGAATAGACTCCAAAAAGCCAGTTCATATACCTGGGAAAGGTCCTGGTACCAGCCCCCACCACCTGCCCCGCTCCACCCCCAACAGATCAAGTCACTGTGTTGACAACCCTTTGAAGCAGAACATTCACACCTCTCCAGAAGTAAGAGCAAGACAGGCTTCCAGTGACCATGTAGGTTTCAGGAAAATAGTGAAGGCCCCTCAGGGATGCCAACACCTGGGGAATCTTTACAGAGAAAGGATTTTCCTTCCTAGATCACTCATAGCTGCCTCATTGGAATTTCAAGCATTTCCCAATTTGAACTCAAAGGAAGCTTGCTGGTGGAGACAACAGTTCAACCTCCACTGACTGACTACAGGTATGGTCTTTGTTGAAGTCAAGTCTCTCAATGACCAAGAGTTTTTCCGTAGATCAGGCTGGCCAGCCTAGGAGCCCCTGCGGTGCACAACTGTTGGCTTGCCTTACTGAGATTGGTACCCTCTATCACTCACCACCTCGGGCTTGCAACAAGCATACTCTGTGGACTGAGCCATCTCCCCAGGCTCTAGATTAGCTTTTTCATTGCATGGTTTGCTTATTTGTGTTTTCATCTGCTCCTACTTATTTGTCTAATTGATTCCTAGTTCCCTTTTTACTTTTTTTTTAGTCTATGTTGGTTTTCTTTGTTCTAGTTTTCATTATACCTTGGTATTTATTTTACTTTCTGTCTTTCCCCACCCTTGTAACAAATTAGTTTGTCTCTGGTAATGTTCTGGGTCTGGATCACAGCTATTTGGCTTTTAGCCAGGTCTGATTTTCTTACATTGGTTTTGTCTGATTGGGTTGAATTTGAGCTTTTCTGGTTTTATTTATTGAATTTTTCTTTCTGGTTTAACTTTTTGTGGTTTCCTGGGTGTTCTTTCATTTGGCAAACATGTGGTGTTTGCTTTGGAGTTTCAGTTTGAGTTTTTACTTTTAATGATTTGATGTTTATTTTGGGGTGTGACTGTCCTTTCATTCCCATCTTTTCTCATTTCTTTCCTTTCCTTTCAGGTTTTCACTCCACATTCAGCCATTCTGAACTATGACCCTTCTACCTCACTCGACTGTGAGCTGACTTTTGTAGTTCTCATTTTAATGGTCCGGGTTGTTTTGGTTTTCTAGATTTTAGTCGTTTATGTGGTATTTAGGATTTGCCCTTTTTTTTCTTTCCTTTTAAATTTTTCTTCATTTCTTGTGCTAGCATACTTCATTTCTTCTTCTGCTTTCTTTCTCTTTTTGTAGTAGCATTCCCACTTACAATATGTAGGGACAGTAGGGGACAAGAGCAGGGCCCAACAACACTGTGCCTGTCACACATGATGAAGAAACAATCATTATCCTAAGGATTTGAGGCCAAGGCAGCGCCGCCAAGGTCATGCTGGCCTACCATCACCTCCCAGGTGAACCAGCTCTGCGCAAGTTCTGGTGGAACAGGAGAAGCAGTTCAAACCAGTAAGTGCAGATGCGCTCCTCGTGAGGACTGTCTGATCCCTACGATTGCTTTGTTCATCAAAACCCAACAGAGCAGTTTCTCACTCATGGAAGCAACTGAAGGAAAACAGCTACTAAATCAACATTCAGGAGACCAGCGCCCTGAAGAAGCCACACAACTCTCCAACAGTAACTAACTGCTCTAGGCTATTGCCCCTGATGAAGACTTAGCTTACAGAGATGCCTTGGTCCCGATACTGTCCTAATGGAAGGGGAGCAGCATGGTAAAAATAATTTAAATTCCAGCCTGAGCAAAGACTTAAAAAGACTGATGCAGCCTGAAAAGTTTGTTCCTTCCCCACGGACGTCTTCCTGGAATTTCCTTGTGATGAACTCAAAGTAGACATCTGGACTTTGGGAGTCCTCTTATATTAATATGGCAACAGGTGCCTGTCCTGTTTGCATGGACCACCTGGTCAAAGCTTAGGGAACAACTTTGTCAAGTGCAAAATGATGCCCCCTATAAGCTTCCTAAAGAGTTAAGGAGCACGCATTGTTAGTTCATTATTAGTAATATACTCAGAGGCCAATAGTAAAAGCAGAGGCCAATTGTACAAAATCTCATGGGTCACCCATGGCTATGAAAGGCAAAAAGACGTTAACAATTAATTGCAATGGAGACACAAACTGCCCTGACTCTGAAATTGTGGCAGCCATGAAAGATAATGGGTTTGATACCAAGACCTAAAAGAGCCTTTAATACACAAAATCTTAAAGAAGCCCCGTCTAGATACCACCAAAGTAGGGACCAGACATCAGGACAATGGCTATCAGAACCAGAGAAAGCATAGGAACCCAGGGGTGACATCTTTCCCTTCTGCTGAGGCTATCAGAACCAGAGAAAGCATAGGAACCCAGGGGTGACATCTTTCCCTTCTGCTGAAGACCCTGCCACTTTCCCTCTGCACCCCCGCAAGGAGAAGGAGCAGTGAACTTTCCTTTGGAGATCCATATTATGAACTGATGAAGATTATAAAGACCAAGAAAAGCAAAGAGGGGAGACAAATGCCCTGTTCTGCAGGAGAGGACACCCATTTGGACTAGAGTCCACCAAGGCTCTATCACCGAACCGTATATTTATTCACTAAGGGAAAAGGGGGGGGGGCAGACGGAAGAAACCAGATTCCCCCACAGTTCATCAGAGAAGGCATTTCAACCCAGCACAAAACACACTAAATATCGGCATCTAGTTCAGGCCAGCCCGTGGGCTGGAAGGGAGGGAGAAGAAGTATTGGGGTATGCCTACTAAGACTGCACTGGTGTATGTTACCTCCATAAATCCTCATCCTTGTCAGACTTGTCAGACAAGCGTGTCCCCCAAGAAGAGAGTGGGCAAGGTGAGATTTACAGGAACAATCGAATGAAGTGAGCCAGGTACATTTCGACATTTGGTTTTGTCTTTGCTTTTACTCATGCCCTTGTCTATTGGTAGACCAAAATTTGTACATTCAGAGGGCAAAGTGCATTTGGAGGCTAGATCCAGACATCAAGCAATGGTTAAGTCATGCCCACCAGCAAATTTAGCACCTCAGAAGATAAATCCCACTGCATGTTTATAAATACGTTGCATGTGCTGTTTATGGTCACTGAAAGACTAGATCCGGAAGTAGAATTTGAGCCAACTCCCAACACACACATTTGAATCCCAACCATATTTGTCAAAGTATCCTCCAAGATCCCTCGTCTGGGGTTTGGTTGTCCCCTTACATTCTGGAACAAGCAAGGAAGGGAAAAGCAAAACAGTCCAATCCAAGAGTAAAAATTGTCTCTGAGAACATCAAGACGGCGATCTGTAACAGCTGTCACCGTGGTTTATCCCTTGCTCTGAAAATGCCTGCAGTGGGAATGAGAAGCCAGAAGCTTCTCACTCACAAAGAGGAAGGTGCACACGAACTGAAGCTGGCTGCCTCGTAGGGCACCCCAGGCGATTTCTGATGGGTATGTGTATGACCCCCTAATTGGATCATGTTACATTTTATTTATTCTCACAATTGAGCACTCTCAGTCATCTCTAGAATGTTTGTGTGAACCCCCCAATTTGAGGTATTTTCTTATACCTGTTGTTTCTTCCACCTTTTACTGCCATTTTTTAAAATTTGTTTTTGCCTACTACATAACAAAAAGTTCCTGTAAAATCAGAAGCGCAGGTATCACAGACCATAATGTACAGAGCCATTCTGCTCATGAAACTAG